ATATTTTTGGGGATAAGCACAAGGGCATTTAACTTTCAAATAGAGTGTGGTGGCTTCCAGTGGGAGAATATAATAGATAGATAGTATCAGGAATCGGATCTGAACCCAGGGCCTCTGCTGTAGCTGGCAGTGGTTCTACCTGTTGAGCCACCTTAAAACCTTGGATAGCTCGTTGCCTGATCTCCTGTGTAATCCTCAGTAAAACCTAGTGTCTGCTGAACTCTAAACTTCTTGCTCCTCCCTTGAACTTCCTATTTAAGCCACGCCTCTGCACTTCCTGTTTGCCAGATTATTGTGCTGCTGCCATTATCTTGCTCCTGCTCCCTCTGTGATACAATCCCTCATACTGCTACCCGTGTACCAACCTTTGGCTGCTGATTCACCGACTATTCTCATCGTCTGCTGCTTCATACTTGATACCTTTGGCTACTGACCTCAGCTTGTTCACTGATTACACTTCTGCCTGCTCCTATACTACTACCGTCTGCTTGTGTACCGAACCCGGCCTGTTATACCACAAATTTGCCTGCTGTTTCAGCTACTGGACTCCGAGCCTTATCCCAGATCATGACAGATAGATAGATCAAACACACAGTGAACACAGTTTGTTGCATATGGGGGGGGGGGGTGCATAGTCGCAGAGCAGTCAGGGTGCCCATGCTGATCTCTGTCCACCACCAAAAAAGTGCAGACAATGGGCAAATGAGCATCAGAACCGGATCATGGAGGAATGGAAGAGGGTGGTCTCCCTGCTATAATTCTTGACTCTCTTCCTGTCTACCAGGGTAGTTTACACCATTATACCATTATACCATTGTTACTGGGCACTTCACACACAGGAATTGATTCTCTATATCTTCAGGTATTCTCACCATGCACCTTCTGATAATTACAATGTTCCTGGAAGGAGAGGAGATAAAAAAAAGAAAGGATTGAGCTCCAGAGTAACTATGGTGGCAAGGACGGTGGAAGAGGTAAGGGGAAATCAAATAACTTTTGCATCAGGACTTATTGGAAGGTGTTATACCCCTGGACACGAGGACATGTATGTGCATGAAATGGTGCAGAATATGAATTGTGCTCATAAAAACATGGATCTAATTGTTTGTTATACGGGCAGTGGGTCTCATTTTCAGTGTCTTGAATAAGATCTGCCCAATTTGCTACATACATGTTCAAAATCCAAACTGGAAAACTATATTTTTAGGGTTTAAAGGGTCACAGCTGAGTATTGAACGCAGAGCCAGACCCAGAGAACCTCAGTGTTACAAAATGAGGGTGCTAATCACAGAGCCATCGTCGGGGCTGACATATAGAGGAAAAGCAAAATCCAGTGTAAGCGCCATTCCTGGTCAACTAAAATAGCATCAAACATGAAAACAATCGGCTTTAGTGATCCTCCCAAAGGGCGCTTCAAAATGGTGGATTTTGAAATAAACAATGTTATATGTGCATGCAAGATATCAGCGGCCAAGTCTTCTGCTTAGAGTTAAAACAACCTTTTATTAAAGTGACACTAAACTAAGGAGTTAAACCTTAAAAATACATTCAACCATTAACAAAAAATTATCTTATTTGTATATCACTCGGCTGTAGATCCTCCAATCATCTCTGAATTGGTGCTGACAATGTCCTTTCTTCTGGAGGGGGGCTACTTGTGTTCCCCATGGTCCCCGTGTGTGTTGTAAAGGAGTCACCACTCCAAGCTCCCTCCCGTGATGGACTACAATCTCAGGTTTAGTTTACTACTTTGTATTGAGATTGTAGTCCATCACAGGATCATCTTCTCCATTTACAACGTAAGAGTGATCTTACCAATACTGCAGTATTGATCCTGGCTAATATCCAGAGACGAGTTACCACACCCAAGAAATGGCTACTTGCTCTGTGTCATCAGGATCTTGGCTCAGGAAGCTGACATTGGTGCAGAGCCATTGGTGCAGAGCAATCCCCTCTCTTCAATCCCTGGTGAATTACAGGACGCGAAGCAGCTCTGGCAGTGTGCCACCAAGAGAAACCGTATACCTAAAGAGGTAGGGGTTGAACACAGAAGAAAAGGGGCCTTCTAGGCGTGTCAATTAATGTCAAAGCATTTTAATTATGCCTGGAACTCTCAAGGAATTCAGTGACGAGCTACCACACCAGTATGGCTGGCGGCACCAAACTCCCACAGCCATTGCAAAGCCAAGTGTCATGGTTCCTCAATGATTTCCCCACATGGTAGGATAAAAAATAATTGAGAAGGCCAGCAGAGAGCGAGAGAGAGAGTGAGAGAGAGAGCAATAACTTGGTTTTGGCCACTTCGGAAGGGGCATAGAGGCAAATACTGCAGGCTGAGTTTCCCTTTAGAGTATCTAAAAGGTAAAAGAAAATACCCAGAAAAGACACAAAATACAAGAGCCAACCCAAAATCAAATATTAATTTTTATTTTCAATAATTTTATTGATAGAAGGTTATTACAATATTATAGACACCTCAGCTATAAAATAAAGTTACAATTGCCACAATTCTTTTACAGTAAATCAATTTATTCAATAAGAGAGTCAGTTTGTAAGGAGTGTTTACAGCTTTCTGGCCCATTCCTCCCACCGTAGCGTGTAACTGAGGTCCTGTTCTGTGATTGGTGGATATCTTACTCCAGAAAACTGTTGTTCCTCATCTCCTGTGGAGAACATGTCTTGGGGACCGTGTCCCCCCAAAGTTAGCTCTGCCTTGGGAATCTTTATTGAGACCAATGCTTGGAATGCAAGGGTTGCACTGACTTAGGAGCTTCTACGTCCCTATTGTTCAGTCAAGAACCTTACTGTCTGTTTGTCAACTAGCATTTGAAGTTGGGTTAAAGTGCAGAAACAAAAAGAGATGTCTTCACACTGTGCATGACGACTGCAAGTAGGCCTTCCATGTGAATGAAAACTGTTGTTCCTCCTCTCATATGGAGAACATAACTTATTTTCTTTTAGCTGAATCATACACTTTATCATCTCTACATTGCCATGGAGGAAAAAAAAGATTTGATTTTTCCCTGCATAACACAGACGCATTTGGCATGAGTTATAATAGATAACTTCCACCTAAGGGGGTGAAGATCTTTTCAATTGAGGGTGGAGCTCTATTGGAAGCACAGAGGTGGATAATAAACTGGAAGTGGTTGGAAAGTAGAATAAAGATCTTTTACACAAACTGCACTGGAGAATACTGGACAGTTGATATATTGGATCGCTCTGAATGGAGCCACACTTTGTTTTGCCTGATGAAGGGACCACATAAGGTTCAAAAACGTTACGTCTCTATGTGATACCATGTTTACCTGACCTCAATAAAGACGGGAAGATAAAGTGGACCTCAGTGCTGGTGGCTTATTCTTCTACACGTTGATCTAAGTGGTGCCATCCACTGGCTTCCTCAGCACCCACTGAATCATTTTAAAGGATTCTGGTCAGTGCTTTTGGCGAATCAGGAATGGACTCAACACAGCTGATTAACCCAATACAGTTAAATTTAAGGCATGCCAACTGCCAAGGTTGTCAGTGAGGTTATTTCAGCTCTAAACTGAATGTTTAACCACTTCAAAGACCAGGTGTTTACACCCCCTTCCTGTCCAGGCTATTTTTCAGTATTCAGCGCTACGGTACTTTGACTGACGTTTATTCCGTCATGCAACGCTGTACTGAAATGAATTTTATACCATTTTTTGGGGACAGATAGAGCTTTATTTTGGTGGTATTTTATCACCACTGCGGTTTTTATTTTTTACTATAATTAGGAAAAATTACATAAAATTTTGAAAAAAAAAAGTTTTTTTTTTAACATTATGTTAGGAAACATTTATTATTACCCAGTTTTTTGGTAAAATATAAAAGACGGGGTCACGTCGGGTAAATAGACACAAAATATGTCAAGCTTTAAAATTGCGCGCACCCGCGAATTAGCAGAAAACTACCATACCTAAAATTGGCCATATGCGACGCTTTGAAAGCTTTTACCGCTCATCAGTTTAGTGTTATCAGTGATTGATGGCCCTAGACTTATTGCTCTCACTCCGACGTTCGCGGCGATATGTAACATGTGCGGCGTAATGGGCGCAATCGTCTTTTTTGCACGTATGCGCCCCCGACGCATGTTTGCATGCGTGTATGTATGGGTGGGGACTTTAAAAAATGTTTTTGTTTCTTTATTCTTTTTTATGTGTAACTTTAAAAAAAATTGGGGGTAGGGGAACTTACATTTTTTTCCGCTAAACTTTATTGCTATCACATACGGGGGTTAATAAAAACCCCCTATGTGTTAGCAAAATATGTGACAGGTCCTCTTTATGGAGACATCAGGGGTCTCCAAGACCCCTAATGTCACCTAGGACCCCCCAAAAGAAGCTGATGAAGCACAGATCTGCTCCATCAGCTTCTTTCCAGCTTAGGTGACGCGTGCGAGGGGGCGTGTCTGAGCGGACGTCTAAAGACACCCGTTTAGATCTAGAGACCTCTCGGCCGGCTGTTTTTTTACAACGCCCGGCCCTGAGGTGGTTAAGCTCTCATATGGCTGGTGTCATAGCTTATTACATGTGTAGCACTATAGCAACTTCAATCCTAGAAGAGACTAAGATGGCACTTTTCTTGGCTGTAAAGGATAGGAGGGTTCTGCTTTAAATGAGCCACATAATCTGTGTTTTTAAAGTGGACCTTTACCCCCTTTCACTAAAAATCACATCAGCATTCAGCTCGGCATGCTGATATGAAATCATCTTACATTGATTAGTTATGTAACCATATTTTTATTTTACTTACAATTACTGTTTTTGTTGTAACCTGCAAGATCTCAGGGAAAGGTATTTTTTCCCCTCGCATGATGTGCATGGTGCATGTCGAAGTCATATGTGCCAGGGTTCCAGGAAGTAACGGGAGATGGATTAATTGGCATGCAAGGCATGCAAAGAATAAAAAACCTGCAATTGTCTATAAATATCTGATTGTAGATTGTCATTACTAAACTTTTCTAAAGGTGCCTATTGTTGTCTAAAGATATTTGTAAAGTTTCTCCTTGAATTAGTGAGTTTTCCCAAGACATATTCATAGGTGGTAGGGCAGTATTTTTGGTAGATATGTTCCACCAATGTGTTGCTTCCAGGTACCATAGATATACCTTTGTTATTCATGTAATTCCAAAGATGTAAGCCATAGGAGTTATTAAAATTTGGCAAATTCTGCCAGACTTCATAGTACCGTCTCCATGATGGATACGGGATGGGATAGAAACGTTGAGGGTGAAAATAACTTATGTTTGAACACATGACATCATCCGTAGAGTTAAAAACTGGCCAGCTACACAATTTTTTTACAACACGTGTAAAAACCCCTGGCCCTTGGTGTCCCCATATTTCTCCCCTGTAGTTCTCAACTAAGTTCTCCATAAACTGCCATGCCAACTGGTAATGTGAGGAGAGGCCAAAAACACCGTTACTAGTAGCTGTGAAACCTTCAGTTGCTAGAAAATGGTCCTCGGGTATTGGACGAAGGGAGATGACATCGGTATCCATGTAAATGCCGCCGTACTTCCATATCATGGCAAGCCTACAGGCATCTGCGCTAACATGGGTCCAGTAGATTTCTTTTTTAGGGTCTACCTGGTAATCAAGAAAAGTACAGCATAGCATGAGACCATAACATAAGAACATTTCTTCACATTCAAAATACTACGTCAGTTAACCTTTTTAGGGGCAGCTGCAGCATTACCACATACCTGCCATAGGCATGAGCTGTGGGCTGCTAAACTAGATAGAAAGAGCAAGCAAGGTACTTTCTTGTATAAATAGAGGTATAGACTCCAAAGACAGAGACATCATCTTGCCCCATACAAAGCATAAGTAAGACCTCATTCTGAATGATATACATTGTGCGATTTGTTTTGTTCCAAATTGAAATTCAAACAAATTTTTGGAAATTTGGACATTCGGATGCATCCAAATTTCTGAATGAAAAAATAACGAATACAAACGTATCCAAATCTCTTTCCGATTGTCGTTTGGAATTAACTTTTGTTGTTAAACGTCAAATTAAAAAAAAAAAGCTAAGGGGTTCCCTTTCCAATTTATACCAGACCCTTTAGGTCTGGTAGGAATGTTAGGGGGGGCCTCAATGCCAAAAAACAAAAGGGGTTTCCCCTGAGATTCCCCTCAAAAGTCATACCAGACCCTTTAGGTCTGCTCTGCCAGGCCACTGCTCAGATTAAGGGTCTGGTAAGAATTTTTTTTTTATATATTGAGGTTCCCCCCCCCAAAAAAAATCCGAAAACTATATTCATGCCTACATAAATTTGTCTACAGAACACGCCTGCTGCGATCTTGGAAGCAGAGCATATGATGTCACATGGTGGTGATGTTATACGCTGAATGAGCATTGGGCCACATCAGCTTCCGGCACGTTCTGCACATGCGCACTGCCATTTTGGAGTATATTTTAGTATACTCCAAGATGGCTACACCCGCCACCTTGGTGCATACCAAGAAACACTCCAAAATTGCGGAGCGCAAGCACAGAACATGCCGGTGGCCAGCATGAACCACCGCTCGTTCTGCAGTTTATTGTGTAGTTTCGGAGGCTCGTTGCCTCCGAATCTGAAACAGCATTAAAATTCATTTTCTTTGATGAAATGAACAAAAATGTTGATGCCGTCATAGCTTCTTTTATGCAATTTTGGAAGTTTTTCTGCTTAGTGTTCCTTTGGAAAAAACCCCCATAAAAACAGGCTTCCAGGCTTCTATATACCTCAGGAGCTATTTTGAAGCCCATTGCGCCCTTAGAAACCACTAACTTCAACCAAATTCAAACTTTCCCCGTTCACTCAAATGTATTTTTACAAAAATCTCACAATTTTCAACAGGACTTTAGAGAACTTAAGACTCTCTGTTTCTATTATCTCTAGTAGCCATTGTGTCTTCCTCAGGATAAGTTCACTTTAATACAACCATGAGATTGATGAGCCCTTTTTTTTACCCCACTTAGTATCTAATGTACCTTATCAAACCAAGACTTAATCGGCGTGTTATTAAACAATTGGTCCATTCTGAGAGGGAAGAGGTAAACGTTGCCGAAAGGTGAAAGGGATGGAAATCGTTCTTTGGCTCTCTTCTCGTCTTCTTCTGTGATGATGTCCTCCAGTCCTTTCATGAAGAAGGCCACCGGTCTGTCGGGGTAGACTCGGGCAGCTGATTCAATAGCACACAACACCAGGGACGGTGGCTCCATTCTGTCCGTGGTCTCCACAAATAGGATTCCATTTCCTTTTCTTAGGATTGTGTTTGCACTGAAAGGATCGGAGGTTTCCTTTTCTGACAAACTGAACATTCCATTACTTACTAAGTAATTGTGAATGAGGAATTTCGGGATGTAATGGTCTTTATATTTAAAAGAAATTCTTCCAATATATGATATAATCACTATCATCATGAGTATAGCGAAGATTCTCAATCCTTTGAAACTGGCCATGGAGTACAACAGCAGAGCTACAAGAAGAACAGACAGAAGTCATATTAAATATAAAGTTCATATTTACTAAAGGCAATCATAAGAACCTTTTTGGGCCAGTGCAACAGGACAAGAAGATGATGTATCACGGTGTGCAGTACGTTTTTTCCTTGTCCATATCGGCACGGGGACAAGATTATTTTCCAGGGGCGACCCTGGAAAAGCACCCTCCCAGTGCCGAGGGCATGTGGCCTAGTAAGGAAGGGGAGGGGGAAGGGGCGCTCGTTAGTCCTGCCCTGCCAGGCCTGTGCTCGGTCCAAGGGTCTGGCATGGAATTTTAGGGGGGTCCACATTTTTTACCCCCTCCCATTTTTGGGGGTGGGGTTCCTCCTTAAAATTCCTACCAGACCTTAAGGGTCATACACTATTATGGCCAATAACTTGCATATAATCTTAAAGGGGACAATTGTTTTTGAAAGTTCTACCCCCATAGACTTGCATGGAGTTCGAGTTCGGATTCAAACTTTTTGGATGTTCAAAAGTTCGGATTCAAACCGAACTCGGGCTTGTTCGGCCCATCACTACTCCATACTAATGCCTATAATTTTGGGATGGGATGTCCAAGAAACTCTAATGGGTGTGATGGTCAGGAGGAAAGAGGTGGCACCCCAAGACTATCAACTGCATAAGTAACAGACAGTTGTCCTCTTTAATTCTCCATGACCTCAAATGATGACATTTATACACAGTATACAAAATAATGAATATTTCTCCCCAACCATCCCCCACTCGCCGATCCTTATATCTACAACAACAAAAAGAAAAGCACATCGGAACGTTTCATTCTCCCAACTTGGATCTAGTAAAATGAATTCTTCAGTAGAATTAGTTTAGCAAAGAATTCATAAGCGAAACAATGTAAATATGTTAGATCCTCTATAATATGACAGTGACAACTAAAAAAGTTTTCTGTTACATAATAAACCTATTTGCTTATTTTTCCATCTACTGTATGTTATCCTTTATCTCATATATATTATTAGCATGTGGTTTAAGCTACTAAATAGGACTTTAGTTGGTTATACAGCACGCTTGTTCCCCATGGTCCCTGTGTGTGTTGTAAAGTAGTCACCGCTCCAAGCTCACTCCACGTTTAGTATACTCATTTGTATTGAGATTGTAGTCCATCCCGGGAGCGAGGTTGGAGCGGTGACTACTTTACAACACAAGTTAGCAAATAGTTGCGCTAGGAGAAATAATGTGTCAGTGATTACCAGCTGCACATAAGACACAGTTGCGATTGTACACAAAGGTTGATATACTGATTAATAATCACTAATTTCAATCAAAACACATATTGATCTAATAATTTAATTATATACAAATGTTGGTGTTGGATTTAGAAGACTAATAATACCTAGCGCAACATATTATCACTATTATTACTTTACAACACATACACACAAGTCTGCTGCTTCAGCCTCTCTGGCTTTAGGTAATCATCCTTCACAATACTCCTCATACATCAGAATCCTCTAGTGTACAGCAGATTGAAAGTTGCATGAAAGGGGAGCAATAATCTAATATCATTCATCCATGGAAGAAAGATCTTGGCATCTGTTACAGGAATGATAAATGACAATATACAGGAAGCATTTCCTCTGAGCAAACATCAGCTCAAGGAGTAGATCATGGCCATGGAACCCCAACACTAGCCATCCCTGTAACCCTAAAACTAAACTTTCTTGAAACACTAACCTTCTATTTAACCCCAACACTAACACTCCCTGTAATCCTAACACTAATCTTCCCTTTAACCCTAACACTAACCCTCCCTGCAACCCTAATCCTCACTGCAACCCTCACACTAACTCTACCTGGAACCCCAACACTAATCCTCCCTGTAACCCTAAACCCCCTGTAACCCCAACACTAACCCTCCCTTTAACCCCCCACACTAACCCTTCCCGTAACACCATCACTGACCCTCCCTGTAACCCTAACACCAGCCCTCCTTTTAACCCCAACACTAACCAATCCTGTAAACCTAGCAGTAGCCATCACACTAACCTGCACATTAATCCTCCCTGTAACTTTAACACTAAACTTCCCTTATGTGAACTTGTTTGCACTCACCTCTCCATCCCCGGGATCATCAGTGCAAATGACCAGCCCTTTGAGACATTAGATCCCAGAGACGGAGTCTGCTGCTTCAGCCTCTCTGACTTCAGTTAAACATCCATCACAATACTCCTCATATATCAGAATTGTCCAGTGTACAGCCGACTGAACATTGCATGTACAAGAAGCTAGCACAGGGGAACTCTCATCTAATATAGGTCATCAGTAGAATAAACAAAATAGACTTCTAAGAAGGAACATTGAAGGAAGGTGAATGTTCTCGGCAATGATAAGAAACGGAGGTATCGCAGACTCACCTAACCTGTAAAGGGAAATGCCAGTGTGGAAAGAAGGAGATGTATAAAAATAATTTCTCTAATTAATTCCATCAAATGATGATTGAGTTTCTTCCTTGGGTCATCAAGCTCACACCCTCAAAGAACTTGTAATTCTGCAATGCTCACCTTAACCCATGACTGGTGCCAGAATGAAACCTCCTGGGGCCATTCAAGGGGATCCTCAGTCATCTAAATACATTCTACATCTACACCCAGGTCTGCTTTTTAAAGAGCATCCCCGAGGCGCATGCGCGAAGCAGACGAAGATGGCCCATACTAGTGCCGCTCCGCTTCTCCCCGACACTTCCGAGCGGCTAGCACGCCCTGTACCGCATCTGACAGCCTGTACTTCGGGGTCACAGCTCGCCTGCCACCCGCTCGCCAGCATCATGGGACTGCCGAACCAAAAATTGATGCCGCCGGGCACAAAATAGATCAAAGAAGCCCTAACTCAGGCCGCATCTAAAATGTTTCCCTCGGGGGCGTGGCCAAGCATGGCGGACTGAGGACGTGCCGATCGGAGCTCTGCGACCCGGAGGCTTGATTTATCGGACTATCTCACTACTCACCCTCCTCACACAGTGGATGTCAGCACGGCTTTCTTCCACCTCTACTCTGGATTCCGACGGTGCCCGGGACATCGCCTCCTTCTTCGTCCGCGGCCGGCAATCTGCGCCCCTGGCAGCGGGCCGCGCTATGCCTCCTAAAGTAACATGAGAGATGTGTGAGCTACGCCAATTGCTAATAGCGATATCAAGGTCTCCACGGTTTCTGCCACG